TGTGCAGAAAAGAAGCCACATCATCAAAAAGCAAATTCACATCTGAATTTAACGAATAAGGAAACGCTGCATGTGCCATGTCAATTTTTGGGTGCCACGTAGTGCATTTTTTAACGGTACCGTGACGATCCGTTAAAATGTTGAGTTTTTTACGGGTTTTGAAAGATGTAAGGTGTGAATAGGAAAAAAAAATTCTGAAAGGTGTTGATCGTGAAAAATAAATAAATGGAGGATGCAAATAAGGGTTTTGGCCATTATAATATAGAATCGCATAGAATTCCAAACGCGCCTTAAACTTGGTAAGGAACACCCCACGTTGTTTTTGTACAAAATCTAGTCTTTTACCTAAAATATCATTGGCGGATCTGTGGCGCAATGGTAGCGCGTCTCACTCTAGATCAGAGGGTTGCGTGTTAGATTCCCGTCGTGTTCAAACGCACGTTCCATGCTTGCGTAAACTTCTTTTTTGGTTGTAATTATGGTACAAAATTAGGGGTAATTCCGTCAATGTGATACACTTATACATTCATTTTCCCAAAAAAAAAAAAAAAAAATTACTTATCTTTTCTCCACATGTTTCGTCAGAGTTTTCAGTACAATTCTAGCTATAGCTACGCTCTCCTTCTCCCTGAATCTCCTTGGCCCATCACCCTCTTCGTCTTCCTCAAATCACTTCCCTCCTCATTTCCCCATAGCCCAACCGGAAACTCCCAAACTGTACCGTCGCTGGTGTGGTCGGAGAATGCTCTTTTATCAACCTACGAGGCTTAATCTTCACCCTGTTTTGTTGCTCGCTGGCCTAGATAGGCCCTTAGATACCCAGAATTTCCTCTCTACCATCAGTGTTTTGGCAGCCATTGCACTCTCTCTTTTCCTGGGATTCAAGGTAATGTGGAATGTTCCTTGCCATTCGCTTGTAAGCATCATCGGTATGTCTTAAAAGTACCAACTTTTTGGGCTGAGAATGTGCAATTTGTGGATTCTTCTGCAAGGGGATCCTCTGCCATGTGACCGCTGTGCAGGAAATGGTACTTCTTTTACTCATTACGTGTGATATATAATTTTCAAGTTGTAAACTTTCTTTCTGTTATTTTCTACATAAATGTAATTGAAATCCTTTGTATGATTAATATCTAGATTATTTATTTATTGATTATGACCTGTTATATTGTTCATTATCTGAATGGCTGAATCCTGATTTTTGATAATTTTTCTGTAAAAAAATCATCAATGGATTCACAAATGTTAGGAAAGAGGAGTACTACAGTAGCACAAGATTGGCCTTTTTAGCTTCTTTGACTAAATCGGATGTTCTCATTTTTGTCATATATTTCTATTTGTATATGTTTGATGCTCTGCAAATAACTGATCTATTACGCCTTATTTAATGCCCTTAGGCCTTCTAGACTCTGATTTTCAATTCAGTATTCATGGATTGACTCTGCTCTTTCTTAGGCATTGAAGATTATATAGGTTTGGGGACAAGGGATGCGCGTGTAGTTTCATCTCATTTTTGGAAGATCATGTCAATCTAGCACATTAGCGTGTTACTCAGGATAAAAGTAAGTCTTATCTATCCTGAAGTCAGCATATTTTAATGGGAACTGCCTGATTATTGGTGTGAAGCTTTATGACTGGTAAACTAAAACAGAAGCAGGCTTCCTTTATTCAAAGTGACTGAGTGAGCAAAAATATGATGCCTAGTGTGTGCAGAATGTGGTTTACATATGGTTCATGGAGGCGTCTAATCAAGACTAAAGTGAAATTGCTATGAGAAAAAATAATATAAATGACATGCATGTTTGAAAACAGGAGGGTCACAATTCTAAACTTAACCACAAAATCTTGAAGATGATGAGTATGGAAAACAGTTTTGAAATAACAGCTCTTTAACTAGTTTAGCTTCCTGCATTATGTTATGTAACTTCTATATTTTTTCTTGTTAATCAAGGGTTAGCAACCGCCTCCTGCACTACTTGCTAGTATAATAAAATGTCTCAATGGGATGTCCCTTTTGACGCTTATGGCAACATGGAATTTATCCATTAAGAGGAAGCAAGCTGATATCTGTGTCTTTTCAATATCTTGCTCTCACTAGTCCGGATTTCACCTTTGGGTGAATAAGGTGTCCCAATTTATGCATAAACCTCCTGATGTGCACTAAAAAGTGTTCTCCGCTACTTGCGTGGGACTAGCTTTCATGGTCTACTGTTATGAACTCAGCGCTCTCTCTCTGTATGCTTATTCCAATGCTGATTGGGCCGGTGATCCATCTACCTGTGTTAGTACCACTGGCTCTAGTGTTCCTTGGCTCTAATACCATTTCCTGGCGAGCCGCAAAACAAAACAAAGGGCAGTAGCTCAGAGTTCCACGGAGGCTGAATATCGTGCCTTAGTGGCTGCTGCTTCTGAACTGGTTTGGGTTCGAAATCTTCATCAAAAGCTTGGTGTTTCTGGTCTTGGTTCTCCTGCTCTATTTTGTGATAATATTGGTGCCACTTACTTAAGCCTTAATCCAAGCTTACACTCTTGGATGAAACACATTGCTATTGATTTACACTTTGTTTGGGATCTGGTTGATCAGAAAATTCTTTATGTTTCTCACATTTCTTCTCACGACCAGCTTGCAGATGGTCTTACCAAGGCTCTGTCAACAGTTCGTGGTTCCAAGATTAGTGTTGCTGATGTCACCTCCATCTTACAGGAGCGTGTTAAGGTCCTACATGATCTGCATTCAATGCCAACGTGATTCTAGGATTTAATCAATATGTAATTTATGAGTTTATGATATTGTATCGTATATATTGTTTCCGTATCAGTTAAGATTCTGTGTGAAGTAACTTTGTATATATTGTTTACAAAGATAGCAATAATAATATGGCAGTCTACCTCCTTCGCTTTTAGCCTATTAGAATACAGGCCCATATCTAATATATAAAAAGAAATAAACAAAAAAAATGTTATAAATTAATTAATTCTATATATACGTAGCTGATTTTTTTCTTTTTGGATAACGAAAATGCATGAAATTTGAAATCCTTACTCGTGAATTCTATTTTCGATGAAAGGAGGAATGTCTCAAGTTTTATTGGAGACAAAGAACCGTTGGGTCTCTCCTATGACTGGCAGCACCCCATGGAACCGGGAGGGAGCCCTCCGGAGTATGTAGGGTTCCTCCATTTGTATGTCCACAGGACCATGTCTAGGATAGCCATTGCCAAAACATAGAAAACGATGTCCCACATTTTGACTATAGATGTATTGAAACAAAAGCAGAAAGGTAAAGACATCATAACAAGAAGAGAGGGAATTAGTGCAGAAAGTGGGAAGGAGATGAGCCCTCCTTATATACGTTTGAGTATCGTAGATTCGAATAGCTAGTCTAAGAAAATCAAGTAATCTTGTTCGAAATAAACTGAATTTAAAATTTTGATGTCAAAAGCTAAAAGCTGAAAACAACAACGTTACTAAAATGCCCTAAATTAAATCTGATAGCACTAAAGAGTTCCTAATATGATAGTCCGAATCTTCAGATGAGAAACAGAGCAATGGTTTGCACATATCGTATATATGAGTATATGTTGAATATAAATTTACGTGAATGTTTGAGTAATTTAAAAGTTTCAGCATAAGATTTTCACGTAAGTCCCGACGCACACTCGTTGTAATCTTAATAGTTTCCAATTAATCACGGTAAGGTCCAGATCATTTGAGAGCTTTTTTAAAAGAAAATTATTAATATATTTTTTTATTTAATATAATTATCAATACTTACTAATTCAATTATTAAATTTTATAATTAACATTTTATCTGTTTTAAATTTAAATTTAAAATAATAATATTATAAAATATATTGAATAAAAAATTATACATTATATTTTTTAAACAATTAGGGCAGTGTACAGTCACTTGTTGCACTCTCCAACCAACACGTGATTATTAATTGGGCCACGTCATGGGCAATGAAAGAGCAACCTGTTGGAGTATCTTATACAGTACATAATAGTGGTTGGATGGTTAGTTAAAAAAGAAAAAAAACAGTTACAGAATCATTGGATCTTAACTTAGTCGGTGGTGAAGGCCCATAAAATGTTTTCTCTGAAATTTCTCTTTGTTAAAAGCCTGCTATCAAAAATTACCGGTTGCCCATTAAAATTTAAAAGCAACGTGACATGGCCCAATAAAAGAGCAGGTGTTGGTTGGAGAGTGCAGGAATCGACTGCCCCCTAGCACTGCTCAAACAATTATGAAGGGTGGCCAGATCATTCTTAATTTCCACGCCACTAGGGTCACTGCCATGCATGTGATGATAACAACTGTTAGCCTATAACCGTAATTTAAGGGTTGCAAACTTGTAATGGTAAACTGGAAAACAAACAAAGGCAAGAAAGTAAATGTGAAAAACGAACTCGTGTTTCGAACATCTAATTATCACATGGTAACAGGAGTGCCTCCGAATAAGTCAAGGTCGTAAAGACATCAATGTTTACTTGGAGTGAGAATGGGGCTGGAAAATTGCACCCTTCTCCCCCTTTTAGTTTTGTTGGAGGGACAGCAATTCGCCTCCCAATTTCAAAAACGTGTAAAGTCTTTTGTTGTTTGCTTTCTTATAATTTTATGCTCATTTTTTTTTTACTTTTAAAAACAATTTAAAATTTTTTTTTCAATAAAAATTTAAATTTATCATTTATAAACAGTATAAAAAAATAAAAACTTCAACAAACTGCACCAAACGGGTCCTTAATTTCTACGCAACTATTGTCACCGCCATGCATGTGATGATAACAACTGTGAGCCTATAACCGTAATTTAAGGGTTGCAAACTTGCAATAGTAAACTGGAAAACAAACAAAGGCAAGAAAGTAAATGTGGAAAACGAACTCGTGTTTCAAACATCTAATTATCACATGGTAACAGGAGTGCCTCCGAATAAGTCAAGGTCGTAAAGACATCAATGTTTACTTGAGTGAGAATGCGGCTGGAAAATTGCACCCTTCTCCCCCTTGTAGTTTTGTTGGAGGGACAGCAATTCGCCTCCCAATTTCAAAAACGTGTAAAGTCTTTTGTTGTTTGCTTTCTTATAATTTTATAGTCATTTTTTTTATTTTTAAAAACAACTTA